CTGGTACACAAAGTATGACACACCCCAGCCATGTGTCCACCCGCCCAAAGGGGGCTGAAAAGAGATACTATGTCCCCACCAAAGGGTCAGAGTTCCTGTTTTCTCATCCTCCACCAAACTCATTCGTTATCCAGGCAGCCTCAGAACATTTCAAAAAATGCCTCCACCCCATCCAATACAACGGGTAAGAGAATGGACCTCATGGGCAGAAAGGTCTTCTCGGCGGACTCCAGTTTCATATTTCAAACTACTTAGCCCTGATGGCCAAATATGATTTCATGAACTATGGGCGATTGGCAGAGTTTCAGACAAACTACCACCACAGGATCGCAATCAATTCCAGGCGGTGTTGGAAGAAGGCAAGTTACTCATCAGATCCATGCTTCAGCAGTGGACTCCACAGACACGGCCTCCCATGTCTTGGCAACAAGGATCATCATGAGGAGGGAATCCTGATTACACTCCTCTGGCTTCCCCAGGAAGGTGCAAAACACTATAGAAGACCTCCCATTTGACTAATCGCACCTCTTCAATCAGAAGACAGACAAGACCCTACACTCCCTGAAGGACTATAGAGCCAAGATCTCTGGGCATCTACACAAAAGCACCCAAGAGGAAATTCTACCGCCCGCACCAATCATATAATTACAGGGCCCCACAGCTATTCCACCAATATACCTATTAGCCTCCTCAAAAGCACCCTAAGGTCCACAGGTCCTGTCAACCTACATCAATTGCCCAGCCATCAGGGCAGTACACCCAAACATCACATAAACGGTATTTAAGTGCCTTAGCTGTCAACCACTCTGTACACCAATGCCCATTTCATCTATTCCCTTCGGGGGGCGCCTCAAACTCTTCCTGCCAGCATGGAAAACCATAACAGGGGACAAATGGGTCCTAGATATTATCCAGAGCAACTATGTCACAGAGTTTACAGTGACACCTCCATCTCACCGCGCTCCTCGATCTGCATGCATGAAACACACACACAATGACCTCCTCCAACCAGAGGTAGACTCCCTACTGCAAAGGAGAGCTGTGGAGCTAATCCCAGACTCCTTTCAAGGAACAGCTTCTACTCAAGCTACTTCTTAATCCCCAAAAAGACTGGAGGGTGAAGACCGATATTGGATCTCCGCCTCAACCGCTCGATTTCCAAACCAAGATTTTGTATGGTCACACTTGCAACAATAATTCCCTCCTTTTAAAAAAAGGCATCTGGTTGATAGATATACAAGATATCAATATACACCCAACTCTTAGAATGTTCCTGAGGTTCAAGGTGGGGACTTGGCATCTTCAATACAGGGTCCTACCGTTGGGACTCACCACTGCCCCACAAGTATTCACAAAAGTTTTCTTGGTAATGGCAGCCCATCTCAGACGTCAAGGGATCCTTGTTTTCCCCTCTCTAGATGACTGGCTGATAGCAACACTGTACAAAGAAGAAGCCCAGGAGTCGACATCCCAACTGCTTCTACTCCTCTCCTCCCCGAGTGTCAGTGTCAACGTCAAAAAATCAACTTTAAACCCTACACAATCCCTGGAGTTCATAGGAGCTCTCATAAGACAAGACTTCTGCCTGAGCTTATCTACCAAGGGAAAGATTCCAGACAAGGACGGATTAATCACTTTGGTATCCTCCACACATGGCAGCCTGTATATACGTCACACCCTTCGCTTGCCTACACCTGCACTGCCTTCAGCTCTGGCTACAAAGGGTCTACTCCCCCATGCATCAATCCACACGCATACTGCTCCACATGCCATCAGAAGATTTCTCCTCTTTCCAGTGGTGGATGAACCCACTACAAGTCTGATCAGGGATGAGCTTCCTCCCATCCTTGCCCACCATGACAAACATACGACGCATCCGTCACAGGCTGGGGCTCCCACATCGGCGAGTGCATGACACAAGGCACCTAGACAGCATGAAAGTCCAGGATGCACATAAACATATTGGAATTCCAGGCAGTACGCAAAGCTTGCCAGGCGTTCCTGCCAACCATCCAAAACCAACACATTCTTGTCATGTCAAGACACCACCACCGCAGTCTTCTACATAAACAAGGGGGACAAGATCCGAGCCCTGTGTGCAGAAGCTATACACCTTTGGGTATGGTGCATCACACACCATATTCTTTTGACAGCAGCCTACCTATTTGGCACCCAGAATGCGATTACTGATGCTCTCAGCAGAAACTTTTCAACCAACCACGAATGGGAGTTGCATGACTCTGTAATCATGGACATCTTTGACCAATGGGGAACCCTGGTGAGGGATCTTTTTGCACCCCATAACAATACCAAATGTACCCAATATTGTTGGAGGGGAGGAGTTGGAATTCAATCACGGGGACGCCCTAGTCCTCAATTGCTTGGACCAGACGAATTATGCCTTCCCCTCCTCCCCCCTTACCGCAAGTGATCCACAAGATCAGACAGCAGAAGGCAACAACCATCCTGATAGCCCCATTCTGGCCTTGCTGATTGTGGCATCTGCTCCTCCTGAATATCAAAGCACCCTCCAGTCACACTTTGAACATTCCCAGAGCTGCTGACTCAACACAATGGCAGACTCAGACAGTCCCACCCACACACTCTTCACCTCTTGGCTTGGTTTTTGAATGCACACCTCCACTAGTGCAGGAATGCTCTATGGCGGTACGAGATGTCCTCTCAAGCAGCAGGAAGGAGTCCACAAGGCACTTGTATCAAGCCAAGTGGATGTTTCACTTCCTGGGCTACCAAACAGGACCTTGTCCCTGAAGCAGTGGGCATCCCACTACTCCTGGAATATTTCCTTTATCTGAAGGACTCAGGACTGACCGCCAGTTCCATTAGAGTCCGTGCAGCTGCCATAGGCGCCTTTCATCTGCTGGTAGACGGTCATTCAATCTTTACCCGCTCTTTAACTGTGCGGTTCTGGAAGGGTCTCCTGTGAAAATACCGTCCCATTCAACCTATCACCCCCAAAAGGACCTTAACTAGTCCTCATCTTGCTGATCACCATCTTCAAACCTATGCTTGCTATCTCTCCTTTCCATGAAAGTCGCCATTTTCATTGGCTAGGAGGGTTAGCAAACTGGGGGCCATGATGGCTAACCCCCTTCACACTTTTCATAAAGACAGTCTCTCTACAATTCCACCCCAAGTTCCTTCTGAAGGTGGTTTCCCAAATCCACCTCACTCAACCCATACACTTTTACCTACTTTCTTCCCCAAACCTTATGCCTTGAACAAGGAAAGAAGGCTTCATTTGTTAGATGTTCGAAGGGCATTGGCTTTTTATCTTGAGCAAACAAAGCCCTTTCAGAAATCTCCCAGGTTTTTTGTTGCCATAGTGGAGAGAATGAAAGGACAAGCCATTTCCACCCAGAGAATTTTCAAGTGGGTCTCAGGGTGCATTATGCACTTCTATCAATTCCGCCTGAAAGGATTTGGGCCCAATCCACGAGAGTGCAAGCATCAACTACAGCTACACTCCACAACGTGCCCCTCGCAGACATATGTAAGGTGGTCACATGGAGTTCGGTACACTTTTTTTGATGGGCTACGCTCTAGTGCATGATTCTGCAACAGATGCTTTGTTCAGAGCAGCAGTCGTCCATTCCACAGGCTCCTCCGACATAAGTACTGCTTGTTAATCACCCTCAGTGGAATACAATAGGGACCATCACTCGAAGAAAACAAGGTTACTTATCTGTAACTGAATGTTCTTCGAGATGTGTGGTCCCTATCTGTATTTGAAACCCACCCTCCTTCCCCTCTGCTGCAGAGTCAGTAGTTCTGCAGTAGAGAAGGAACTAAAGATGCCAGCAGCCCCCCCCGCACCCTTTATGACCTGGAGCGAGACCACAAGGCTACACAGGGCACATGCGCAGACTGCCGAACAGTACTACTTTCAAAAGCTCTGACTCTGGGCACATGGCACATGCACATAACCCCTCAGTGGAATATGGATGGGGACCACGCATCTCAAGCACATTCAGTTACAGGTAAGTAACCTCAGGTTGTTTTGGCTGAAGTGTAACTCCAAAAACAGTGATTCACAGAAATTATGCTCAAGCGGTGCCGTTACGAAGCTTGCTGAAGTCCATTAATACTAATTTTGCTTCTGTCCATTGGAAACACAATATGATTCTCCCTGTTTTGAGCTCCTTCTTTACTAGACTGCTGGCAGCATGCATACCAAACTCCTGACTGAAAAATGGGGGACAATTGTGCTCATCGAGCGGAGACCACCTGGCAATTATTTCAGTAGGAAAATTTGTGGATCTGTGTTTTTGCAACAGGCGTACAAAATTCTTATGAATGTATACCACAGATGGTAAATAATCTAATTGACCATTCTGACCATGATGAGAGAACTGAACTATTATCTGCTATGGAGAAATAGATACTACACCTGCTAGCTGTTTCTATACAGTAAATGGCATTGGAGTTTTCTTTTGCATCGACAGTGATGTTAATGTGTCTGCTTTTAAATGTTTTTAAAGATAGATAGATGATATAATGAAATATGTGTGCAAATATAAACTACTTTGGAAACATTACCCTATAAAAGTACTGATTTTAGTGTGCATAACCTAGAGAAAACCAAATGCTATCTTTCTAGAGTAAAGAGAAATAGGACGTTGAGCTTTCCTTTTGATGTCTTAGTGCTAGATTAGTTTCTGACAATGCTTGGGCAATGACAGTTTTGTGATGGCGACTTCCTTTTTCTGATCTTTTGGACAAACAGTGCAACCAGTGCACAGTAACATTACAGAAGAGGGTGTACTTGGAAAGAAATCCCAAGGGCTTGTATACAGCTTCATTCTTGCTGTACATTTTTATTTTGATCAGCATCTTTGGAACTTTTATTTCTGATAGTCTGGATATGGAGGACTTTCCATGTCCAACACATACTAAGGGATCAGAGACCTTTATTTCTTAGTAAGTCTCATTATATTGAGTAGAGAAAAGTTAACTTGGAATGTTTTTTGTCTTTCCAGATACAGTTTATGTAATCACGCCAGATGAGAAAGGAACAGCTCCAAAAAGACACGTGCTCAACAGCAAACCCCTACTTCCAGCAAAATCCAAATTGCTGTATTTTAACTCCTCTTCCTTTACAATGATGCAGGAAAATCATGAAGGCCCACAAAGGAAACTGGGACGACTCTCTAGGAAAGTGTCAATACATGATACAAAGCCAATAATTCCCCTGATTTAAGATGTTCTTTTCTGGTGACTAACGCGTCAGTACTTTCAACTCCTATTAATATCCATAATCAGTAACATACAAAGAGAAGCTCTTATTCTGAAATTGTAAGATTTGTATTTGGGAATGCTGTGGGGAATGAAGATGAGTGTCCTTTACCATAACTCAAAACAAGATTTTCTTTGGGGGATCAGATCCTAACTCTTAACTTCTGCAGTTATCTTTTCTTCAGTCCTCACAAATGTAGACACAGCAATGAAAATTAACTTTTCTTTTTAAAAAAAATTATATATTCAGTTTGCAGTAGACATTCCTTATGTATTGTTTGTATTTATTTATGATTATCAATTTAAGTAACATTAATATTGTATCAAACTCCTTATGAAAATGAGTATGGATGTATACAGTACGTCTGATTTTTTTATCCACAAGAATGATTTTGATTCAAAATGCTTTTCAGCTGACATATAGAGCACTAACTATTTTAAAGGCCTGAATCTTATGAATTCTCAGTCTGTATGGGATTTAGGAAAGTTATAAAATGCATTAATCCTTTATAGTCAATTCTGTGCCTAGGATTTTGCAAGGGAACAGTTAACTGACAAGGAGAAGCACTACATTTTTAATTCAGCATTAGTGCATTGGGAAGGAACTTTATTGCTTTGTGCTTGGCATGTCATTATTTTACATTTGACATAAGGCCTTTCCAGAATGAATGTGAGGAATTGCTTTCACTTTAAGACTTTCCTTTTCTTTAAAAACTCTAGGAGGTATTATGTGAAAAAAGCCTTGATTTTCATTTGGCTAGTGCCATGTTTATGATCATGTACCTTTAAAAATAAATAAATAAGGGAAGTAGCATCTTTACAAATGACTAGCAAGAATTTAGTTAATGACGAATTAAAGCAGCACTGTTGATCGGTGCTTTGCGTAAATACATCGTAACTTTTGGGTCGAAAGGGGCCTTCAGAAGGATAGTCAATGATATGAAAGCAATTCTGTACATGAATTAAGCATACTTGCTGCATTGTCTCTGCAGATTCTATTTTTGTTTAAAATATTAAAATGTATGTTAGCAAAAATGGGTGGATTTTCAAATAAAATGCAGCTTCCACAGAACTTTTGTTACAGTATGAAAGTATGAGGTAGTTCTTTTCTTTTTGCCTCTTAAAATGGGCAAGGATTATTGCTTTGTTTACTTACCGTACCAAATCTATTTAATTACATGCATATTACATGCTAGGAAGTGCACCAATATGAATCTGTCTAGATTTTTATACTGTGCCTCTTCCCATGGTGGTACAGCACCTTAGTTTTATTGAAGTGAGTGAATACAGCCTCTCACCAAGAGCTGGATCTATTACTTGAAATCATTGGTGTCTGGTGTCCCCTAAGATTCTCAAAATGCTTATAGCAGGCAACTTGATGCTTGTAACTGGGTAACATAGAAAGAAGCATGAACAGGCTTACACCAGTTTCCCTTACACAACTACCTCAAATGTTCCAGCCTTGGGTCATGGCTGACAAGCTAGAAGCATCTTGCTGAGACATCAGTCACTTACTTTGGAGACAGAGTTCCCATCATGAAAGCAAAGGGCTTACTCAAAGTCTAGGAAGAACGATGCAAGGGCCTGTTCATAACGAGGGGAACCTAGTAGGGCTGTTTTCAGCTGTTCTGACGTTTGCCCTGATGTTTAAATCTTGACCTTATATTGGCACACATTGTAAAATGGCTACTACACAAGTAACTTTAAGGACTCTGAGCAGGGCTGAGCCAATATTGTTCTGTTAGTATGCAGAGTGGACATATTGCCTGTACAGGTTGGTAAAAGGTTTTGAATCTTTAGTATCCCCCACTAATGCACTTCTCCCAGGCTGCTACCTTCTACTTCAGAGATTTATTTGAAAAGTCTATAGCCCTTTGTTGGTTGCAAACAATCTTTAAAATGAAGTGTCTCTGATGTGGTGATGTCCTTATTTTATAAGTAGGGCCCTATCAAATTCACAGCCGTGAAATATAGTCTCCCCTGTGACATCTGGTTATTATAAGGGGATTGCGAAATTACCACCCTTCTGCGCTGCCTTCAGAGCTGGGCGGCTGGAAAGCAGTGGTTGCTGGACGGGCACCCAACTCTGAAGGCAGTGCTGCCGCCACCAGCACCAGCGTAGAAGTGAGGGTGGCATGGTATGGGGGGACATCACCTTTGGGGGGAGCAGGGACAGCTGTATGGGTGGGCACCATGGGCACCCCCACCCCACACACACAGCCCAAGGCCCCTTTAACCTCTGAGTGCCGGGGAGGAGCAGGGCTAGGGGCACGTTGGCTGGGAGCTCCTACCCTATGCCAGGCTCAGGCTGCCAGTCCTGGCCAGGCTGTGGAGGGACGGGACTTCCTCTCCCCTGCATTGGCTACTTCCGGGGCCGGGTCAGACCACCTCTGGCGCTGGCACAGAAGTAAGGGTGGCAATACCATACCATGCAACCCTCACTTCTGCGCTGCTGCCTTCAGAACTGGGCTCATGGCCAGCAGTCTCCCCTCTCCAACTGCTCATCACTGAAGGTAGCACTGCTGCCAGTAGCAGTGCAGAAATACCACGAAACCCACCCCCCCTCCATAGCCTTGCAACTCTCCCCTCCTCCCTACCCAGTCGGGACCCCCACAGTTACAACATTGTGAAATTTCAGATTTTAAAAATCCTCTGACCATGAAATTTACCGAAATGGACGGTGAATTTGGTAGGGCCCTATTTATAAGGCTACGCCTTGATTGCAAAGAAAAGGTATGTTAATGCGGGTTGGCTAACTTAACATGCTAGCTGACAGGTTAAAAGAGCATTGAAGAGACAGCAACTTGCCTGAGGGTTAGGGTAGCCTGGGGTTGGACTGAAGCTGCTAACAGGCTTTAACTCAAACTGCTCATCAAAGCCCCCTGTGGCTGCTCTCCTTCAGGGGTAACCTGTTCTCGTGTGCATGGGCTGTGTCAGGCTGGAAGTTCTGAAGGCACCTAAGTGAGTTGCTCAACTCACGTTAATTTTCAATGAAGGTTGAGCACCTCATTCCCATAGGCTGGATTGTTTTATTGTAAGAGCAGGAACTCCTGCTGTAGCGCTGCCTTCTCCTTGCTGTTCTGTACATCTGATTCAGCCAGCAGTGGAGGAGATGATTGTGGTGATACAGAGGGCTCTGATTCCTTAGAGACCGATCAGACTATTTGGAAAAACAGAATAGCTGCATGCAAACCAGGGGGAAAATTTTAAAGAAACAACCTTATGGTATAAATTAGAAAATAAAAGCAGTCAGAGCAATGGGGCTTTCCCTTTGATTTTAAGTTATTTTGGCCAAAGTCATCACAATCTGTCTCTGGTGTAAATTTGAGAAATAAATATTGGACATTTCATTTATTTTCTTAAAAACTCAACTGTACCGAACACAGAACATGGGTGATAATATATCTAAAGGTCTTGCTGCTATGAAAACGCAGTCACAAGGGAACAAACAGATCGCAGGGATGTACTGTATAAAATATTGGTTTAAGTATGGCAATATTGCATGCAATAGATTGTCCCTGATAGCTTGAAAGAACTGTCCCCCCAGAAGCACCCTGTGCGGCACAGAAACACTAACTTCTTTCAGAATAGACAAATATTAATCCTATCAGATGGTCTGTCCAATCAGCCATTGTGGATGAGGCCCACCAGGCAGATTGTTGTTGCTCCTCCCGCAAGCTGCCAGCCAGGACAAAGATGTTAAGCCAGTGCACCTGAAGACCTTTTGCTCCAGGTGCCCACTCCAGAATAAGAAAAGTAGATGCAAAGGCAATGCCAGCCCAGAAGAGCCTGTTCTTCAGAGGTCATTGCTGGGCAGAAGAGGATGGAAGCAGGATCGGGATAGTACCTGGGAGAAATGAGTTAATTACAGCTTGGGAAATAGGGCTGAAAGGGGATCTGGAACCCAAAGAGCCATGGGCCACAGGGAAAGTCTGTGATACAAGTGAACAGCAGACAAAGTGCCAGGGAAGGGGAGCAGGAATAAGATAGGGCATAGTGCTGAAGTACAGAAGGGGACAAAGAAATGTAGAAGAGGTAATAAAGTTCTAATAGCACATTTACTCCTGAGTCAGACAGACTTTGCCTGACATCAGTTAGGAACAGCTGTATACTGACCTTTGTACTTCCTCCCCAACATTAAAATAGGCAAGGCTGGTCAATGTACCTCACCTTGGTTGGTGTTGAGATTGTGAGGATGAGACAGAACCCATCTCATAGAGTCATAGAAGATTAGGGTTGGAAGAGACCAGAGGAGGTCATCTAGTCCAACCCCAACTAAATCATCCCAGCCAGGGCTTCGTCAAGCCGGGCCTTAAAAACCTCTAAGGATGGAGATTCCATCACATCCCTAAGTAACCCATTCCAGTGCTTCACCACCCTCCTAGTGAAATAGTGTTTCCTAATATCCAACCTAGAGCTCCCCCACTGCAACTTAGAAGATCATAGAATTGGAAGGGACTTCAAGAGGTCATCTAGTCCAATCCCCTGCTCAAAGCAGGACCAATCCCCAGACAGATTTTTACCCTTGTTTCCTAAATGGCCTCCTCAAGGATTGAACTCATAACCCTTGGCCTTGTTCTGTCATCTGCCACCACTGAGTATTGCCGAGCGCCATCCTCTCTGGAACTCCCCTTCAAGTAGTTGAAGGCTGCTATCAAATCCCCCCCTCACTCTTCTCTGCTACAGACTAAATAAGCCCAGTTCCCTCAGCCTTGCCTCGTAAATCATGTGCCCCAGCCAACTAATCAATCATTTTAGTTGCCCTCTGCTGGACTCTCCAATTTGTCCACACCCTTTCTGTAGGCCCCAAAACTGGCTGTAATACTGCAGATGTGGCCTCACCAGTGCCAAATAGAGAGGAATAATCACTTCCCTTGATCTGCTGGCAATGCTCCTACTAATGCAGCCCAATATGCCGTTAGCCTTCTTGGCAACAAGGGCACACTGTTGACTCATACCCAGCATCTCATCCACTGTAATCCCCAGGTCCTTTTCTGCAGAACTGCTGCTTAGCCAGTCGGTCCCCAGCCTGTAGCGGTGCATGGGATTCTTTCGTCTTAAGTGCAGGACTCTGCACTTGTCCTTGGTTGAACCTCATCAGATTTCTTTTAGCCCAATCCTCCAATTTGTCTAGGTCACTCGGGACCCTATCCCTACCTTCCAATGTATCTACCTCTTCGTGTCATCCACGAACTAGCTGAGGGTGCAATCCATCCCATCATCCAGATCAATGAAGATGTTGAACAAAACTGGCCCCAGGACAGATCCGTGGGGCACTCCGCTTGATACTGGCTGCCAACTAGACATCGAGCTGTTGATCACTAATTGTTGAGCCCAACAATCTAGCTAGCTTTCTATCCACCTTACAGTCCATTCATCCAATCCATACTTTTTTTAACTTGCTGGCAAGAATAGCGTGGGAGACTGTATCAAAAGCTTTGTTAAAGTCCAGGTATATCACGTCCACCGCTTTCCCCATATCCACAGAGCCAGTTATCTTGTCATAGAAGGCAATCAGGTTGGTCAGGCATGACTTGCCCTTGGTGAATCCATGTTGACTGTTCCTGATCACCTTCCTCTCCTCCAAGTGCTTCAAAATGGATTCCTTGAGGGCCTGCTCCATGATTTTTCCGGGGACTGAGGTGAGGCTGACCGGTCTGTAGTTCCCCAAATTCTCCTTCATCCCTTTTTTTAAAGATGGGCACTATATGTGCCTTTTTCCAATTGTCCAGGACCTCCCCCGATCAGAAGTTTTCAAAGATCACAGCTAATGGCTCTGCAATCACATCAGCCAACTCCCACAGCACCCTCAGATGCATTAGCTCCGGCCCCATGGACTTATGCACATCTAGCTTTTCTAAAATGTTTAGGTATCTTTCTTTGGGGATAGCTGTGATGTCTGTGGTAACAGCCTACTATGCTCTTATTCAGCATTAAAAAGCATTTTCAAAAGATGAGTGAAGACTAGCATCTACTCTAGAAGACAATATGCTAGAGCCACTGGTCACTCACCAGTTGGTGAGGTTCTCTGAAAAGTGACTCTAAAAATGACATTATGGTGTTCCCAACTGA